ATTTCACCTAACATCAACTTATCTAACCTTTTCTGCCTGTCTCAGACATATACCAGTTATTGCAAATAAGGGAAACCATGGGACCTATATTTCTTTGGGCCTGGCTTACTTCACTTAATATAATATTTTCCAAGTCTTTCCTTTTCCTAATTCTTGCTTGCTTTTCCTTCCTTCCTTCCTTCCTTCCTTCCTTCCTTCCTTCCCTTATTTCCTTCTCTTTTTCTTTCTTTCTTCCTTTCCTTCTTTGTTTTCTTTCTTTCTTTCCCTCTTACTTGCTTAGTAAGCACTCTATCACTTGAGCCACGTCCATATCTATATGTTTTCAATGTTATTATAGTACTTAGTTTATTTTAACTATCATCAATTGTTTTGTACAAAATAAGAACATTTCTTTTTACAATATGTAGCATATTACTTATATTTGCTCATATTATTCTGTCCATGATAACTATTGAAATTGTCAGTGAAGTGATCTTTTTTGTTTTTTTGTTTTTCCTGGTTTAGATAAATTATGAAGTGAGCTTCGGACAATTTACTGTAAAACACTACAAAGAAATACCTGGAACCTAAAGATCATATCTTGTAAGACAAACAAGTTGACTTAAAAAGACAATCTGGGAGCAATTTAACAATACATATTAATGACTTCAGTGTTTTAATATAGTTAATTTAGTCAGTATAGTTCTTAATGGTGATAGAAACAGTGAAAGAGTTCTTTATACAGTAAAATCCAGGTAACACATACAAAAAGAATGATAACCAGAAATGTATTGATTGATTCAGGAAAAAATAATCATGATAAAATAAGTACATTTTAAAGCATTTTAAAGAAAAGTTTAATATTTCTTAAGTAAAATGGGAAAATAATTTCTTCATAATGCTGAGATCTTGTTGGTACCATTGCTACAAAATAAAAGAATGATCATTTCTGGCTTCCAATGCAGTGAGATCCTACTGTTTAACTACTGACTGAAAAACTGTATGTGAACATATGAACATAATGTTTATTTAAATGGTTATACAATGCTATTAGTAGATGGGATATAGAACACAATTCACAAATAGTACAACACATGTAAGACTCATGTAAGTTATATAAAAATAGTTGGTCTCTAAGGAATATTTTCAAGACTTTTTTTTTTAATAAAAACAATCCCAGGCATTTATTCTCACCTGATGATAACACAAGGTCATCAGAATTGTGCACACTAACAATGGGCTCATCAAACAATATGAACAGATGTTTTCTTAGATTCCCAGCAAAGAACACTAAAACAAACAAACAAACAAAAAACACTGTATAAGATTCTTAATAACTTCTCACTTCATTGATCATTTCTAGTTGGAGACACTTTGTAGTAGAGTAATATTATCTCCTTTTAACATGATCCGACCCAGTTGTTTTCTTGACTTTGTTTTAGAATGAGTTTCTTCTGCATCATCTATCACAAGGTTCATGTATTCATCAAAACCAATGATGCAGCCCTCTATCCGCATATTCACTTGCTTATAGAGCCACACCTGAATCCGAGATCTATTTTGTAAATATCTGAAGATAAGATTGGTGGGCTGCACCATCACCGTCTGCACCTTTTCCCCTGGCCACGGTACGCCATGGTGGAACCTTACAAAGGCCACACGTGTGAATCAGCACGCCACCCTACGAAGCAACTTCCGGAACTTATTTTCAAGACTTTTATCAAATTATCTGATCAGTGTCACACTATGGTTGTAATGAATAAATGAATGCAGTTCCAACAGAAGTTATCAGTTGATATTTTTGCTCATTCTAACAAGACAAAAATTAAACAAAGCTGCATTCCAGAACTTAATGAATCATTAAATATGTGTTCCTTCTTTGAAGAATTGGATAGTAGTTGTTCTATTATATTAAAAATTAATTCTTTATCTTCTTCAGTTTCTGTATTACAATGTAATGCCTATAGACACATTAGCATTTTTTAAATAAGTATTTTATTGTGAAAATACTGTACAGAGGGGTTACAATTATATGGACAAGATAATGAGTACATTTCTTATCAAGCATTGTTGCCTCCCCCTTTGTTTTCCCTTCCCATCCCTTACCATTTCCCCACTACCACCACCCCAAACCCCCGCTCCTCGTCCCTGGTGCCAAAGATGTATAGTTCATTTTTGACAAAACATCTTGTCCATCTCATTCTTGCAATGGGTCCACCTGCATCCCTATTTAAACAATTTCTTTTTTCCTTTTCCCTACACAAATTATACCAACATCAAATACAGTGAAAACAGCGGTTATCGGGTGGGGGAGGGACATACAAAGCAACAAAGAAATCATCTTATAAATATGTTAGAAACCATAGAAGGCAAGAACAAAGATTTGAGTTCTTAACTTGGGGTTCATTTCGCTTAACAAGAACTTATCTGACCATTTCTGCTTGTCTCAGACATATACTAGTTATTGCATATAAGGGAAACCAAGGGAACTAGACACATTAACATTTATTTCATCCTCTCTTTCTTTTAACATTTCCTACACCACTTTCTGTAAAATAAACAAAACCATAAACTAAGCTGGGACTCATAGCATTTCCCTGATTTTTGTCCCAATGGTAGCACACTATAGTACAGAGGGGTTACAATTGCACGGGCAAGGTAATGAGAACATTTCTTATCAAGCATTGTAACCTCCTCCTTTGATTCCCCTTCCCATCCCTTCCCATCTCCCCTCTCTCTCCCCCCCATCTCTCCTCTCCCCCTCCCCCACCCCCCACCCCCCCACCCCCGAGCCAAAGTTGTAAAGTTCATTTTTCGACATAACGACTTGTACATCTCATTGGTGCAATGGGTCCACCTATTTAAATGATTTGTTTTTTCCCATCCCCTCCACATATTATACCAACATCAAATACAGTGAAAGCAGGGGTTATACCCTGGGGGAGGGACATACAAAGCAACAAAGAAATCATCTTATAAATATGTTAGAAACAATCACAAGAAAGATAAAAAAAAAACATTTGAGTCCTTATCTTGGGGTTCATTTCTCCTAACATCATCTTATCTGACCATTTCTGCTTTTCTCAGACATATACTAGATATTGCAAATAAGGGAAACCATGGGACCTATGTTTCTTTGGGCTTGGCTTACTTCACTTGAAATAATTTTTCCAGCTGTCCCTCAGTAGATGAATGGTTCAAGAAAATGTGGAATATATACACAGTGGAATTCTATGCCTCCATCAGAAAGAATGACATTGCCCCACAATGTCTTATTTCAAACTATCAATTTGATATCACTGAGGTTGGCAGTCAAAGAACGTTGCTCCTTATGTGTAGGTCAGAGGTTCACAAGGCAATAGGTTCAATTTACAGCAACTTATGCCCCCAAAAAGAAGAAAAAATGAGAGAAATATAATGCAATACAGCTCACTGTTTTCACCGGGATATATGCAAATGTAGTTGAATATTTAGAATCAATTGTATTTAGTAGGCATTACCTTTACTTAACATACATGCTTTAATGCTAGACTAAGTATTTCTTTTTATCCTTTAGTAATTTAGATCCTAGACCAGAAAATCTCTGAGATTTTATAATCATTTCCCCAGTATACGTCTGCTTGGCTATTCCTCTCCTGATTAGGACACAGTATTATTTGTATTGCAAAATATTGTTAACATGGATTTAATTAGAAGGAAACAATGGAGAAAAACCAGAATAAAGACAATTCAAAAAGAACTCCGCCCTTTAATGCTCAAAACTGTCAGTGTCATAGGATTCTAAAAAGTAAAACAAGAAAAGTCTATTGTAGATTAAAGAAAACCAAGTCCATGATAATAAGGTGCATTTCATGAATCCAGATTATATCCAGACAACAACAAACTAGGAAACATTGCAACTAAGGAAAGTAGGACATTTAACATTTTAAATATGGAACCTATAGATAAGGTAACAAGTATCAGTATTTGATTTCGTGATGGTTAGAATAATGAAGTTATTTTGGAGAATGTCCTTGTTCTTGTGAGAAGCCCGACTAGACAAAAATAAATTTGTGCCTAGATACACAGACAGTGGAAAATGACATCTATTACTTAGAGAGAAATGGTGAAAATAAACAAAGAATAATTTTTAAAATTGTTGAATTCAAGTAAAGGTACAAAAATTACTCCAAACACAAAAAATAAAAATCTGTATAATCATAGAAAGTATACAGGAGAAATAAGATGTACAAATGTCTTTACCTAAGAATTATGAATTTCAAATATATATTTTAAAGACAATGATGTTACAATTTTTAATCCCAAATCCAGAAAAGCAACTTACTATTAATTAAGCAAGAACTAAGCATCAAACTATGCCCCAAACCTTAATAAACTTATAATGATTGTTTTCACATAAGACAATCAACTTTGAATAATGAATATTTTTAACTAATGATATCATGATCACTACAATCCATAATAAAAAGAAGAAAATTGTTTCTAAATGATCACAGCTTTGTGTTTTGTTGAGGGAAAAAAAACACAAAGAAGCTTAATTGTAATCATTCCTTTTGTTGTTTTACTATTTAATAATTAGAAGTCAAATTTACAGTACTAACTGATAGACAATGATCCCTTGGTCCATCACACATTGCAATGAAACTTAAATTAATCTTCATGATTTCAAATTTCTATGCTAGGCTACCAGGAATGTCAGAGTTCCCCGAGGCCTTCTGTTTTATAGTTAACCTCTTCCTCTGTGTGAATTTCACCTCCTGATTTAAGGAAAGGAATTCAACACCCTGTCCTGTTAAGAATACAATCTTTTACACCATTTCTCAAGATTCATCTCAGATTTACAGCCACACACTTAAGAGGTATTGTGATGCAGAAATGCGTGCAAGACATAAAACTCTATTTTCCCCTTTCTCACTTCAGTAGAGCACAATTTCCATTTATTCACACTGTATTTCCTCACATGATGTGTTCCTCAGCCCAGTGCTATAAATTTGAAAATATTTATAGGCAAGACTCTCACCGATGCCATTTATGCTTTGCTGACATCATATCTCATACAAATAACACAGCCGTTGACTGGCCAGGATTATTCTCCATTAAATAAAAGGTCCACCTTTGACTACAATATTCTTAATGAGTTCAAGGAATACCTGCTTATGACTGCTCAGGGTTTTCTCAACTCCATTTTTCCAAGTGATCAATTTTAAATTTATAGGGTGGGAATTCCATGTATCCCCTTTCTCTCAATATTTCAGTGACAAATGTCAATGGGTTTAAAAGCTGAATTTTTAGGCAGAGTAGGAACTTTGATTGTCCAGCCACGAACATAGACAATTTTTAAGTATTATATAGCAAGTAGGCAGAACTCAGAGGTAGTGATCATGCAGTCCTAAGGTAGAAATCAGCATGAGTCATTCCTGGAATGGAGTTTGGATGGGATGCAGTAAGGTAGAAATCAGCATGAGTCATTCCTGGAATGGAGTTTGGATGAGATGCAGATGGAATCGCTGGGGTGGAACTCCAGTACTTCCTGTCTCTCTTCTTCCTGTCTCCATTTATTAATGGATAAGACAGGTCATCTGAACATTTGGCAATGCGCATTTTGAAGATCCTACAAGTAGCCAAACTAATAAACACTGGTAATGTCTTCTAATTGCACACTCTCTGGTGTGTTACTAAACAATCTGTATAGCAGATTTAAAAGGGACAAACTGAGATTGTGAGCAGTTGTGTGTGGTATAGGGCCCCAAATTCTAGTTATCTCATTGGAATCCGATGCAAAGAGATCTTAGAAGTCATATAGACACTTTATTTGTTATTTCATGGTCTTCAAAATTGCACACCGTAAGCAGACAGCTAGAGAAAGTGTAATTTCCCTTTTAAACAATAAACAAACTAATTCTTCCAACTTTATACTGAGAAGTATACTGCACGGACCAATTATCATTTATTTTTCTTGGTCATGGGGCCTGAACTCTAGGCCTGGCACTGTCTCTTAGCTTTTGAGCTCAAGGCTAGCGCTCTACCACTTTGAGCTACAGTGCCACTTCCAGCTTTTTCTGCTTATGTGGTGCTGAGGAATCAAACCCAGGGCCTCATGCATGCAAGACAAGCACTCTACCACTGAGTCATCTTCCCAGCCTCTGACCAATTATCTATGGGTTAAACTCAGAAGAAAACAATTTTTTAATCCAATAGCCCTTTAGGGCTTCATACCCATGTCTCCAAATATTTCCCCATGTTCCAAAGGCTTCTGAACCTCATGATACAGCAATGGTACCACTTTTCTGTATCATTTTTTCATTGCTATGACACAATACCTGGAAACACAACATGAAAACAGCCAAGATCTACTTGTGCTCTTGGTGTCATGTACTACCGTGATGAAGAAAATGTGATGTAACAGAGGAGTCACCTTCTACCAGCCAAGAAATAGAGAAAGAAAGCTCTCAGAGACAGTGGCTTTGTCTTTCCCCCCTTTTATTTCATCTGGGCCTCCAGCCTACGGCATGCTGCTCCACACATTCAGAATGCTCTTTATCTCTGAACATAGCTTTCCAAGTACACACAGAGGTGTGCTTTTCTAATCTCAGAGACACTTCTCCACAAAATCAACTTGATAATCAAAATTAACCATCAGAGCCCTTCAAGTGTATTCT